ATCCTCAGTGAAGATTAAAAAAGAAAAAAGATCTTAAATCAATGAAACCAAAATTAGCTCTTTGAAAAGAACAAATTGACAACGTTTTAGCCACCAGACTGAATAACTTACATAAAATAGAAAAATTTCTTTAAACACACAAACTACCATAACTTAATCAAGAAGAAACAGAAAATCTGAATAGACCTATAACAATAGTGAGATTAAATCAGTAATTAAAAACCTCTCAACAAAGAAAAGCCCAGGACCAGATGGCATCACTGGTGAATTCTACCAACATTTAAAAAAGAAAGAACAAGAATCTTTCTCAAGCTCTTCTAAAAAGTTCAAGAGGTGGGAACACTTCCTAGCTCAATCTACGTGGCCAGCATTATCCTGATACTGAAACAATATAAATATAACATGAGAAAATTACATACCAATAGCTCTGATGAATACTGATGGCAAAATCCTTATTAAAATATTAGCAAAATGAGTTCAGTAGCATATTAGAAGGAGTATACACCATGACTAGGTGGGATTTATCCCAGGAATGCAAGGTTGGTTTAACCTATGAAAATCAATGTGATATATCAATAATGCAGAAAAAGCATTTGACAAAATCCAACACTCTTTCATGATAAAAGCACTCAACAAACTAGAAACAAAATGGACTTCCTCAATATGATAAAGGCCATATACATGTGTTTAAAAACCACATAACTAAGATCATATTCAATAGTGAAGACTGATGGCTTCTCCTCTAAAGTCAGGAACAAGACAAGGCTCCTTGCTTTTCCCATTTCTATTCAATACAGTGTTGGAAGTTCCAGGCAGAGAAATTAGGCAAGGAAAATAACACAGCAAAAGTAATAAAACAAAATAAATAAATAAAAGGCAACCATATTGGAGAGTAAAAGTTAAATTATCTCTGTTTAGAGGTGACATGATCTTATATGTAGGTAACCCTAAGAAATCCACCAAAAAAAATTGTTAGAGCTAATTCATATATTCAGCAAAGTTGCAGGGTACAAAATCAGTTGTATTTCCATATGTTAATGATGAGTAATCTAAAAAGGAAATTAAGAAAACAATATTCACAACAGTATAAATAAGAATAAAATACTTGGGAATAAATGTAAGGAGCTGAAAGACTAACACACTGAAAACTACAAGAAATTAAGGAAGACATGAATGGAAAGGCATCCTATGTTTATGGATTGGAAGACTTAGTATTGTTAATATGTTAATACCACCCAAAGTGATATACAGATTCAATGCAATCACAATTAAAGTCTCAATGGCATTTTTTCAAGAAATAAAAAACCCATCCTAAAAAACCCCATTATTAGGATTCTCAAGGGACCACCAATAACCAAAACAATCTTGAAAAAGAAAAACAAAGTTGGAGGACTTACACTTCCTGGTTTCAAAACTTACCACAAAGCTACAGAATCAAAATAGTATGATACTGGCAAAAGGACTGACATATAGACCAATGGAACAGAATAGAAAATACAGAAATAAACCTTTGCACATATGGTCAATTGATTTTCAACAAGGGTGCCAATCCATTCAATGGGGACAGGACAGTCTTTTCAACAAATACTGCTAGAAAAACTGGATATCTATATGCAAAAGAATGAAGTTGAACCCTTACCTAACACCACATACACAAATTAATTCAAAGTGGATTAAAGGAATACATGAAAGCTAAAATTATTAAACTCCTAGAGGGAATCACAGGGGAATCTTCATGACATTGGACTTGGCAATGATTACTTGGATATGACACCAAAGACAGAGGCAAGAAAATAAAAAAATAGATAGATTGGTCTTCATGAAAATTAAAAACTTTTGTGCATCAAAAAGCACTATGCACAGAGCAGAAAAGCAACCCACAGATTGACACAAAATATTTGCACATCATATGTCTGATAAGGTATTAATATCCAGAATAAAGAACTAAAAGTCAGCAACAAAAAACAATGCTATTTTAAAATGGGTAAAGCACTTGAATTGTTAATTTCCCAAAGAAGGTACACAAATGGCCAATAAGCACATGAAAACATTTCAGCATCACTAATCATTACAGACAGAAATGCAAATCTAAGTTACGGTGAGATACCACACCTCATACCCATTAGGATGGCAGCTGCTGAAAAATCAATTAAAAGTATTGACAAAAATGAGGAGAAATGGAACTTCTGTGTATTGTTGGTGGGAATGTAAAAAGGGTTCGGCCACCACAGAAAGCAGTTTGGCAATTCCTCAAAACATTAAACATGGAATTACCATGTGATCCAGTGATTCCACTCTGGGCACTTACCCCAAAGAACTGAAAGCAGGGTCTCAACAAGCTCTTGGTATATCACATTCACAGGAGCGCTGGTCACAACAGCAAAATGCAGCAGCAGCCCAGCGCCAATGGATGAACAAATGAACAAAACGGCGCACACACGGAATGCTACTCAGCCTTTAAAGGGAAGGAAATTCTTACCCATATCACAACATAGGTGAACCTTGAGGACATTATGCAAGATACAATAAGCCATTATGAAATGACAAATACTGTATGATTCCACTTATATGGGGACCTAGAGTAGTCAGATTCATGAAGACAGGAGGTAGAATGGTGGTTGCCAGGGGCAGGGTGGGGTGGGGTGGGGAGGTAAATGGGGAGTTAATTTTCAATGAATAGAGTTTCAGTTTTGCAAGATAAAAAAATTCTGGAGATGGATGGTGGTGATAGCTGAACAACATTAATGTATTTAATGCCAATGAACTTGTACTTAAGATCGGGGAGGAGGTGAGAATGAAGTTCTAAAACATGCTATAACACGGATGTTCCTTGAAAACATTAAGTGAATGAAGCCGGACAAGAGAGGACAAATGTTACATGATTCCACCTACACGAGGTAAGCTAGCATCAAATTTGTGGAAGCAGAGAGCAGAATAAAAGTTAACAGGGCTGGGTAACCAGAGGTACTGGAGGAGCACACTGAGTAGTCGTTTCTTAGTGAGTAGTTTCTGTCTGAGACAGTGAGAATGTTCTAGAAATGGAGAGTGGTGATGGCTGTACAACACTGTGAATATACTTAATGCTGTTGAATTAAACTCTTAAAAATTATTAAATTGGTACATTTTGTTATTTAGATTTACCACAAAAAATGGTAAAGAAACAAAAACAAAAAAACCCCTTATTAAGACTCAACCATATGAACAACAGGGTTAGCAGCACTGATGGGTGGGGTGTGGGCTCCACAGGGCAGAGCTGACACAAGCTGGCCCTGGGTGCAGACCCTGCAGGGCCCTGGGGCCATGTTAAAGATTCTCAACTTTGTTGCAGAACAATGGAAGTGCTTGAGGAGTCAGGCTGATGGAGGCGTCCCTGTCAGAAGGGTGCTGCCGTCACTCAGGAGAGAAATCAGGAAGCTCAGACTAGAAGTAGGACATCAGAGGGAATGAAAGAGACGGGCCTCAGTCATCCATGGCAGTGACCAAGACTGACAACTGAGGCAAAAAGCCAGTCCCAGCAAATTTCAACAAACTGAGAACACTCAAAGTTTGTTCTTATCAGTGCAATTAGGGAAAACAAAACCAAACCTAAGTTATATAAACCAAATCTAAGTTAATATAAAGATCACGAGGAAATTAACAACTATAGTATTTAAAATCATAGTGGAAACTGCAAAATATTTTTAACTGAGGGTCAAAGAAAACGTTACCTAACAGAAGCTGTGGGCTGCGGGTAAACCATGAGCGGGATTCTGTAGACTGAAGCCCGTATTATAAAAGAAAAAAGGCTGGAAATCAACGAACTGTACATCTCAAGAAACTTTCTAGAACAACAACAAAAAGGTAACCCAAAGACAGATGGAAAGAAAGAATAAAAGGAAGAAATTCATGAAACGTACAATACAGGAAAAGTTCCTTGAAGAGGCTGATTCAGTATTTAAACCCTAAAGAAAGTAAAGTGCACCCACGCAGAAGGCGCCAATACCAGGAGAGAAAAACAAGGCAGCACGTAGGCCCTGTGCTGCGGAAAGAGGAGATATGTGAACTTTAATGCCAATTAATCTGAAAACTTAGATAAATTTAGAGAAGTACCAATTGCTAGAAAAGCAGAGTTTAACAGAAAGAGAAGCTCCACATGGTACTAAAACTATAAAGGAAATTGAATCCATAATGAAACCTTACTCTCAAGGGATGGACACATGTGATAAAAACCGGCAAGATGTCAACCCCAGCGTGAGGCAGGAGGTACATGAGAGTTCACTGCAGAATTTGTTTCCTGTGTTTAAAATTTTTCAAAATAAAAGGTCATAGGGGAACCTCCCAACACTCAAAAAAAGAACTCCCAGCCCAGATGGTCTCACCAGTGAACTTTGCTAAACACTTCAGAAAGAAGTAACACAATCTTGCAGTAACGCCTCCAGAACACTGAAAAAGGGGGGATGCTCCTCCAAGTCGGGCTGAAGCCTGCAGTCCTGACCCAGGAATGCACTGAACAGCTCCTGGCTTCTGCCCCAGCTGGTCCAGGCACACCTGAGCCCAAAAAGGGGTGGCCCTGGGGGCAGTATGCAGACCCCACCCCCAACTCCAGCCTGAGGTCACAGGGAAGACGGGTAGAGCTGGGCCTGCCAGGACCAGGCTGCAGCACCAGGCCAGGGGCAGCCTCACCTCGAGGTGCCATGCTGAGAGCAGCTGCTCTGCTGAGATCTGGGGTCACNCAGGACAGAACCTAAGACAACAGCTCCTGGCTTCTGCCCCAGCTGGTCCAGGCACACCTGAGCCCAAAAAGGGGTGGCCCTGGGGGCAGTATGCAGACCCCACCCCCAACTCCAGCCTGAGGTCACAGGGAAGACGGGTAGAGCTGGGCCTGCCAGGACCAGGCTGCAGCACCAGGCCAGGGGCAGCCTCACCTCGAGGTGCCATGCTGAGAGCAGCTGCTCTGCTGAGATCTGGGGTCACAGCCTCGCTCCCACTCCGTCCCTCTGACCCGGCCATGCCCCACTTACCACCCGCACCTCACCGGAGGTCGGGGGCCAGCCAGCCATCGCCTCCATGTCCTGCAGCTTCTGTGTCTGCTTCAGCTGGTTGAGCGATGGCTTCAGCTGCGAAGCCCCCACCGTCTTGCTGGTCCACTCGTCCACCAGCTTGTGCAGATCATCCGTGAAAGTGCCTTTCTTGTTGTTGCTGTTGTTCACCTGAGCCTGGACATGCAGGGCAGGTGAGGGGCCTGACTCGGGGCCTGGGACCAGGCTGCTGGTGGAGGACCCTGGGAAGGCACATACAGGCCAGGGTTGGTGACATCGTCTGCCAGCAACAGGGGCAGCTGCAGTCATTCAATGGTCTCGCGTAGGCTAGGCAACACCTTGCTTCAGGAGATGGTCGGCATTAGGGAACCATATGCCAATTTTAGACATGGTGAGGCATTTCCACAGGCCACAGGGGACTGGGCTGAGTCACCCATCTCATCAGCCAAGCCGGGGACAGGACCCCAGCTGCTAGCAGCCTTACTCAGCACTCACTGTGCCCATACTGCTCAGGCTTGCCAGACCCGGGAGTGAGAGCGCTCAGGAAGCTCCTGGCAGACTAGGGGCAAACTGTTCAGGCCTCTGTACCCTTAGCTCTAACATTAGGACTCAAAGTGGAGGCTTTGTGCCCAGCAGCTGCTGCTACACTTCTCACACAGGGAAATGCTTGTAATAGGATGGGTCACTGGCATTCCTGTGAATTTAAGTGGCTTGGTAGTTTGGAATTTAAAACACGGAAATTGCACTTCTCCTCGCCAGAGCACTGGGGAAGGTGCTAATAAAGGGCACAAACCTAGAGCCTTCAGTTGGTAATGGGCCCACAACCTGGGCGCCTCTGAGGGGCTGCTGCCTACAGCCAGAGGGGCTGGGAAGTCAGGCGCTGCAGGCCTGGGTGGTGTGGCTCAGCGAGAGCGGGGCAAAGATGAGGGCGCTCACCACTTCATTGAAAGATTTGGTTTAAACGACCAAAACAGGACCTTGTATTTTTAAAATAAATTGTGTCCCCTCCCTTCTTCCAACATAATTTCTGGTTGGCAAATTTGAATAAGCCACTTTTTAAAAGTTCTGCATTTAAAAATAACCTAATGACCATCTCTTCAAACAAGCTATTGCAAAATGTAGTCTACTTTAGTGGCTAGCAACAAAAAAGCACAGACACAACAGTTAAACATTAGTAATGAGATTCTACACACGAGCTACATCTACGTGAATGTTTCAGCCAGAAAAAAAGGGGGGGGGGGAAACAGGCTCGCAATGAGAGCGGTGGGCGGCCCAGCAGACTGATGCCCATCTGTCCCAGGATCTCTCCTCTGGCACCCATCTTTAGCACGGCAAGGAAATCCTCATTCCTACCATTTTAGAAAAGGAGCCAAATGGTCCTGTGGGATGCTCCAGAGGACAACCTGTTAGATGTGAACTGGCCAGAATGCACAAGGGCAAGAGCCATGGAGGTGCAAAGGGGCGGCGCAGGGGCCGCCCAGCCAGGTCGAGGCAAAGTGGAGCCCACGGAGGATGGGCACAGAGCAGGCCCTCGCCTGTCTGCCCGCCAGCCGTGGTTGCAGGCCAGGCCATGGAAACCCTGATGGGCACCAGCCACAATCAAGCCCATGCGGTGAGAGCGGACAGGGGTGAAAAGAACCCGATAATTACGACTGCTGTGCTCTTTGCCTAGACAGAGACGCTTCAGGGCGGACCCTGCAAGGGAGAAGAAACAACACAAGACCACGGGGTTAGGCGGGACGGTGCGCACGGGATGAGCCACCACACTAAGCAAGGTCATCAGAGTGCGAGGAGGCGCGGAGGCCGGCAGCTCAGAGGAAAGGCGCAGCCTCCAGGGCTCCCTGGGCGTCCCCGAGCCAGTGTGCAGTTCACATGAACTTCGCTGAGGGGTGGGCTGCAGGGCCAAGCCCAGGTTCAGAGTGAGGCGTGTGTGTCTCTAGAAACGTCTTCCAAAAAGAGAGAAAAAAAGGAAAGGAAGAAAACCAAACCAAACTGAAAAATGGGCAAAGCGCACCACGTGGCTTTTAAACACGGGGCTTTCGGAAGCCCCACTGTCTCAGCAAGAAGCCCCACGAGTGTCAGCCAGGCGAGCACGTGCTCACTGGCACGGGCCTGGCTCTGCCAGGCTGAGGCCCACGGGAGGTTTTCCAAGTGCAAAAAGATACATTGTTTTGCAGGTTTGAGGCCAATCCCGGGTCTGACAGCGGCGCTGACCAGGCGAGCCATGGGCGGGAAGGAAATACAAGCAGTCCACGTAGGGAGGTGGGGAGCAGGCTACTCTGGCTCGGCTACACTGGCCTCATCCGGTGCTCGCTGCCCAGGAGAGCAGCAAGGGCTCCCGGTCGCTGCACCACTACTAAGGGCTGCTGGACCCCAGTGCCCGTCTAAGCTGACAGACGGACAGGCGACACGCCGACTTTAGTGCCTGGCGTGGCGAGCAGACGCACTGGCCCGGAGGGGCTGCACACCTGGCTGACCCTGCCTTCCAGGGAGTCAGGCCAGCAGAGGTGGGACAGACACGGAGGGCTCAGGCATCCCCAAGGTCACTCAGCAAGGCTGCCCTAGAGTGGAGGGCCTGTTGGTTCCTGCCCATAGCACTCCCCAGGAGTGGGCGCCCTGCACACAACCACGCTGCTCCCTAGGGGGCATCGGCAGCCGCAGGCTCCGGGTGCTCGACCCGGAAGACACACCACCCCCTCCCGTGCCTGGGGACCGGGGGCAGCGACTGAGCCCAGCAACCCGAGGAGCAGCTGTGCGACTGGACTCAGCTGCTCTTTCAGTTCAGCTATGTACTCTTGAGGCGGACTTGGGAAAGGGAGGTGATGTTCCGCTGGGATCTCTAATTGCTCATAAAAACGAAAGGACAAACAGCAGTCCAGACCGGTCAACTCCTAGTGGGGATGTGGAAGCGCCTTTGCTGGTCTGTGTTCCAGGTGGAGCCCTACTGGGAGCACAGGGCCCTCTGGGGCTGCTTGGCGGGGGAGGATCAGCTCAGGGACCATGTGGGACACCAGGGAGGGCACACTCCCCGTCCAGTTTTTGTGGTAGGAGCCTTAGCTTCCAGTCCCCTGCCGGTGATCACAAACATGGGACCAAAGGCCCAGCCGGGTCCCCATAGCCTAAGGGGTTCTGAGCAGCTGCTCTGGGCCCTCCCAGGCTAGAGCCCTGTGTTCAGGGCTGATTCCCCACACCCTGTGCAAGGACCACCCACAGCCAGTTGCCTGCTCAGAACCACCTTAGGGAACCTGGGCCTGCAATTAAAGCCCCAGACAGACCTCACTAGAAATCCAGGGTTAAGGCCATTAGCCACACCATACGTGCTGGCTTCCACAGCCATGCCACGCACAGGCCTGCGGTGACCAGAGCACAGCCAGTTCCTGCTCTCCCTGAACTTTTAACTCAGACCAACCACATTCGGGGCCCTGCACACTGAGTTCATGCTGCGCACTGAGTGCAGACACCACGGGGTGGTGACCAGCCCTCGCTCAAGCCACAGCCCAGTGTCTGGTCCAGAGCCTGGCCTTGATGCTACCAGACAGCATCCAGCAGACAAGCCCCACCCCATCACATCAACCCACACTGTGCAGCAGCCTTCCCCCTGGTTCCTGCCCACAGAGCTGCCAGGCAGCAATGCAAGGTCGTCAAGAACCCCGCGTCTAACACAGGACTCAGAAGGAAGCCACAGGAGGCCCACATGGGTATAGGGGTTTCAACCAGCCCCACTCCTAGTTTCCCGTGGAGAGTGGAGATGCCCCCTGTAGGTCTCTGTCCTATGCCAAGGCCCTGGAAAGAGAAGAGCCAGCTTCCAGGCCCCAGAACTACTCAGGGAAGTGTCCATGTGGGGCAGGAAAACCACTCTTCCCAGCCTGCAAAAGGGCAGCAACAGGATGGCCTGTGACTTGTCTGGTGCTGCACGTGTCGCAGGAGGCTCCACAGTGGCCGGCCTTCTCCCTCATGGCACGCCCCGGGGTCAGGGTGGTGCCCCAGCCCGCAGTGAGGTGAGGCCCCTAGGCCACTTGGGCACAGGAAAAGGCTGCTCCTGACGTAGACAATCAGCCTGCTGGGCACCTGCCACCCTCTAGACCTTTGCTGGCTGCCAGGAGGATGCCTGGGATTCCAGGGTGTCTGATGGAAACAGATTGCTTAAAAGTGGGCCAGGCCCGACAGCTACCTCACACTTGTCGTATATCATGTGTTCAAATACTGACGAGGGTCAGGAGAGCTGCCGGGCCAGCTCTGCAGACCGACCAGGGCTCCCCACCCCCATGATGAGAGGCACATCGCCGATAGGCCGGCCTCACCCTGACAGCAGCACTACGCACTCGGTCCTGGCACAGAGAAGAAAACGGGTAGATGGCACCAAAGTGCTGCTCCAGGTGTCTATGAACTGAGCCACCAAGTTCTCAAGCTGAGAAAGGTGCCAAAACTGGTCTGTGGAGCAGGAACTGGGCAGCAATGCGTCTCGGCTCTGTCCTGGGGTGCATCCTGTCTGGGATGCACAGGCCCTGAGCACAGGGGCTGGTCAGCCCCTTGAACAGCCCGCAGTGCCAGCTGCTCACCAATTTGACCTGGGTGAGCTAAGGCGTGGTGGGCGCTGCAGGTAGGGGGTTTCCTCCCTGGGTACTCCACCCTGCCCCTGGGCCCTCTCTCAAACGCACAGCAGCAAGTCCCCACAGGGAGGGAGGGAGAAAAACACATCAGGGTGAGGGCAGGATCTAGGGAGCTGCACAGTGGCAACGGGGGTCCCAGAGAAAAAACTGCTGCAGGATGGATGCCAAGCACATTGTCAAAGACACAGAGAAGAGCACAATGGCTCCGTGCGTAGAGAGAGGTCTCGGAGGAGCCAGAGGCCTGGAGGGTCAACGGGTCTGACCACAATTTCTAACCAACAGGACACTAGGACACCATCACTTCTGCAACCTGACCCAAGCTGCCCCAAACTGCTCAGCAGAGCAGGAGGGCCCTGTAGGATGGACACTACATCTGGGGTCTGGCCTGCTTCAGGGACCGGCCCTACCTTGGGGCCTGCCCACCCGACAGCAGGCCTGACTGACAGCCACCCCAAGGAGGTGCTGAGGCTGTGACCTCCCCACGCTCGCTGTCTCGGGCCTGGCTGTCTCTCCCACATGCGGTCGCCCGGGGCCCCTGGAGCCATCTACAGCTCTGCCCTGGGTGCCACCACCCATCTCCAGCCTCTCTCATCTTCTCCGAGTTTCAGGGAAGCTGGGATTTCCTATACTTCAAAACTTTACAGAGTTGATTTTTCAAGGCTTGTCTCCTGTTCCTTTCAGAGCAGGGAATTGAAAACCTTTCTCAGCTTTACCTCCGGCTTCCCTGTACCACTTCTCAGGCCTCCCAGACCAGCTCTGAACTTCCCTCCAGTCATATGCCACTTGGTCACCCAGGAACCAGCAGACGGTGGCTCCAGGAGGAGCCCAGAGGGCCAGTGGGGTGGATACCAGGACCGAAGGGGGGTGGGGGGTGTCAAGCTCCTCTGGCCCCACTGGACCAGCTGGGGAGTTTGTCTTCAGCTCCCAACCCCTGTCCTTGTGGCTGTGGGGAAGAGGGCCCAGAGCTGGCCAAGCACTCTCCTCAGCAGCAGCCTCAGAGCACATGGAGGCCACATCACAGCCTGAAAATAACTGGGCTGTGCAAACGCAGTACCATTATATTCACAGCATCCGAGGAAACAAGCCACTGGTCTGCCCCAAGCTGTGCCTGCACATCCATTTCCTCTGGGCCGAGACAGAAACAAAACCTAATCTCTTTGTCCCTGCAGTGTGTCAAGTATTTCTTTTATGTTGGAACAGTAACAGTGAAAAAAACAGAAACCTAAAAACAAAAGGTAAAGTGGTGATGATCTGAGCGGAGGCCTGTGCTGCTCACTCAGGTTTCACTCCACGTGCCCTGGGGACACCACCCGCGTCCTTGGAACACAGTCACCCATCTGAGCACGAGACACCTGGGGACCCAGGTGTCATCACACCACAGCTTCCCGGTAACAGCCATGCACGTAGGGGCAGAGGAACGTTGAGTCAGCAGAGAGCTGGGACTGAGGCTTCCCTCCTCTGTCCCCCCATCTAACTTGACAACTAACCAGCAGCCCAGTGACCCTCAAGCTGAACCCGGCATCTGTCAGTGGATGAAGAGTGCCAGGCAGTCCCCAGGCATTTCTACCTGGTCCTGGGCCTCCGGCCTGTCCCACCTGCCAGGGGAGGCCGCCCCAGGCCCTCTGACGGGGATGGATGTGGCCTCAGGTCCCACAAACACAATGTATCTTTATTGTACAAGCAAAAAGCCACATGCCCAAACCAGCATGTCCAATCCAATTGATAAAAAGCTTAATTTTTCTGTTAAAAAACAAAAACCTGAAAAGCCCACAGCCTTTTATTCACTTGCCCATCCATCTGAGGGATAAAACCAATTTGGGGCGGCCCTGAGCAGGTACCCCATTCCTGGACATGAGTCCCGGGTACGAGGAGGGCATTCCAGGGACTCTGAAGACAACTGGGGCTGAGTGTTGGTTTCGCAGGGCATTGTGGAACTGCATAACTGACTTCACCTTTAAAGTCCCTGGGATAAGAGGAAAGCACACCCAGTAAAGTGCAGGAGCTAGAGAGAAAACCCGAAGGGGCAGGGCCCGGGTGGAGAGCGTGGTGGGAGGCTGGGAATCACCTCTCCCAGAACTGGGACACTCTGAGGTGAGCACAGTGGAGACAGGGGCTGGGGTGTCCTAGCTGGAGTGGGTGCTCAGCATTTCCACATGCAGG